GAGTGGTCACTGCACTCCAGTCTGGGCGACAGAGTGAGACTCCAACTCAAAAAAATAAAATAAAATAAATAAATAAATGCAGAAAGTTAATAAGCCTCGGTCTTTTCCTCCATAGTATGGGATTGATAATAGCACATGCCTCCTAGGGCCCAATGTGAGAATGAAATAGCACATTCAGTGTTTAGTACATTTCTCCCAAGTTATAGTCACTACCATTTTTTGATGTAATTGGTATTACTGCCTCCATAAACCAGCCCCAAACTTACAGCCTCGTGTGCTGTCACCACCCGCAACAAAACCTTGGCCCAGCCAGGACGGCCTAGTATTGTTCCCCCAATGTCCCTGCCTCCACGTGTCCCTCCCCACCACTCCCCCACCACAGCCACTCACTCCAGGCCACCCACCCTTCAGGGCTATGTTCACAAGGCTCCCTGTGTGGGCCGGGGAGAAGGACAAGATGGGGGCAGAATCAGGAAGGGAACAAGAAAGATGAGGATAGCGACCGAAGAACTGAGGGGACAAGAAAAGGCAAGGGCAGTGATTACAAGACCGAGCCAGGACAGGAAGCTGGTTGGGCCAAGGGGGGAAGCAAGATGACTGGGGAGAACGGGGGCACCTGCCATGGGGTACAGGCGAGGTCTCGAGGGACCCGTGGGGCAGAGGAAGGAGCAGGAATGGGGGCTGATGCGTCCAGAGGAGCAGGAGATCCGAGTAGCAGCGGTAGGTGACAGGGTCGCCAGGAGCCTGGGACTCTGTGAGTTGCAGAGAGAAGCCGGGGCTGCAGGTTGGCAAGAGGAAGGGCAGGCAGGGGCACCAGGATGCTGGCAGGGTCGCACTCACTGAAGCAATACACTGGAGCCCTTCCCCAGAGAATCACGGTCAAGTCCAGACCTGGGCCTTCTGAGCCAGGCCACACGGAGGCCCCATTTGCCCTCCTGAGGCCACTGACTCCCCAGACTCCCCCCATCCCCCGACACCACTCCGCCTAGCCTCTTGGGCTCACAGGATTCTGACGCTGGAGTCAGGGAGGGCCTTGCGAATCTCAACTGACAGCTGGGGTAGCTGAGGTTCAGAAAGGGGGAAGGAACCAGCCAAGTCCTCCAGGAGGCGGTGGCTAAGCTGGAAGGAGCCTCAGACCCCCGACTCCCACCCAGACTCCAACCACTCCTGGTGGGCTTTGGAGCCTCTGGCCTCCCTCCTGGAGGGCTCTGAAGAAGGTCTCCCACTAGCAGCCCAGAAGATGTCCTCCCTCGTGCATGGCCTCCCCAGATCCCTTCCCACGCACCCTCACCCGTGGGCCCACTCGATTCCCTGAACCTGTGGTGGCTTCAGCCTCACCCACTGCTCAGACTGAAACAGACAGTGGACCATGTCTGGATGGGAGAGGAAAACAAGCAAAACTCCCTGGGGATTTCTGTCTTGTCTCGAGCCAGAGTGGCTGGGTCAACCCCAGCCTCAGCTCCAAAAGGGACCCACCCTCAGCCTTCGAAGTCGCACAGCGCTGTCAGCGTCCCCAGGAGAACATGCCCACTGGTGTCTGGCACTGAAAGAGGGGACAGTTGGCCCTCCTGGGGCCTGAGAAGTGGCCCTGTAGGCTCCCCTCACCCTGACACTCAACACTTGGTGGGATTAGCTAGCTCATGGGTCTTCTGATTCCAGCATGGAATCAATGCTCTGGCAGTCATGAGCCTCCATGGGTGACAATTCCAACCCTGCCTCCCCTGCAAAGAAGAGGCAGGGCAGATTGTCACCATCCCCGGGGCCAGAGACTGGAGATGCATGGCTGACAGACCCGCCCCTGAGCTCCCCTAGCACACGCTGGGCTCACACTTCGGGCAGGAGGAAATTCACTCTTCCGAATCCCCGTCAGTGAACAAATACTTCCTCTCTCTGTGCTCACAGCCACGCACCCCAAGCCACAGTGATGTCATCGCCACCCGTGACATCGCAACACACCACAGTGGAAAAAGACTGTAGGCCCCGGAGGCTGGGCCCTGAGCTGCAGAGCCTCAGCCCTGCAGTCAACTGTGTGGCAGAGGGGACGGATACCCAAAGCACTGGGTGGCCACAGAGGCAGGGTCAGAACCAGACCAGGGCTTCAGCACTTCAGCCTTCCTTGAACCTGCGGGTTCCCAGACGGCATACCCGGCAGGCAGCCAACAGTCAGGACTTTCTCACACCTCCGGGGAAAGGTGCCACCTGGCACTAAGGGGCAGAGAGGCAGGACACCAGTGAACCCCAGATTTGCCTGGGTATCTCGCCTCGTGTCCCTCATGCCAGCTGACAGGCAGCCTTGATGACACTATGGCCTGAGTCAAGGAAATCATCCCCCAAAGCAAGTGGGATGGAGGTCAGCAAGAGAAGAGAAGGTGGGGAACTGAGTTATTAACAGTGGGGTGTGCCAGGCTCTCCTTCCTGGGAACACTTTTGGACGCCCCACCCCAAACCTGTGGCCTTTGTCAAGCACAATCAAAGCTGACACTTCCCCAAAATTCTGAGAGAACACTGGGACAAGCGCTGTTGGGTTTTAAAGATAGGGCTGCCTGGGCCCAGAGAGGTTAAGTAAACAGAGCAAGGTTACACAGCAAGCTGATGACAGTAGGCAGATGGGAACGCTGATCTAACACCCAAGTCAGTTCTCCTTCCTGGAAGCCATGCTGTCTTGGAAGTCACTTGGAGGCAGGGAAATGGACAGAATGACCTCAGAAGAGCCGCATAGGGCATCCTCTCCTTGGGGACAAAAGTAAACAAAACCTTCAGCTTTACAGAGGCTGGAGCTGCAAGAGGTTTTAGAGACCTCCTGGAAACTTCCCGTGCCCATCTTGCAAACTGAGACTGTCCGCATCCCCTCTGTACCCCACCAAACATACCCCTGGATCATCCCCCAAATTCACAGCGCCTGTCACTCACCGAAAGGGGTGAGGAGGGGATTTCCCAGTCCCGAAGCCTTTGCCACAATATGGGGTCCTACAGCCAGGCAGTCGGGCAGGTGGCGTGAGAAGCCCTGCCTGTAGGCGCCGGGCAGAAGTACAGCCAGGAAAGGCAGTTAGGAGGGAAGATGTCAGAAATGTTAGGCAGCAGCCAGACACGGTGGCTCACTCCTGCAGTCCTAGCACTTTGGGAGGCAGAGGTAAGGACTGCCTGAGCCCAGGGGTTCGAGACCAGCCCAGGCAACTTGGCAAGCCCTCGTCTCTACAATAAATAAAAAATTAGCTGGGCGTGGTGTGAGCATCTGTGGTTCCAGCTACTTAGAAGGTTGAGGCAGAAGGATCACCTGAGCCCAGCAGGGAGCGGCTGCAGTGGCCGCGAGTGTGCCATTGCACTCCAACCTGGGTGACAGAGTGAGACTCGGAGAAGAAATAAAGAAAAAAGAAAGAAAAGAAAAGAAAGAAGGAAGGAAGGAAAGAAAAAGAGATGTCAGGCAGCAAAGCCACTCTGGGCAACCAGGGGCTGCCAACCAGCTATGGGGCCCTGCGGTTCAAGTAGAGAGTCTGACTCCACAGGGCTCCCCACCTCCACCAGACTCAGATTCAGATCAGGCCCACAAAGCCACCAGTGGCTCAAATAGCAGCAGGAGAGTCTAGAAAGCACTCGCAATCCCTGCAACCAGCCAGCGGGGCAGGGATTACTCCCATTTTACAGAAGAGGATACGGAGGCCCCCAGGGAAGAGAAGATGTGCCGAGGCCACCCAGCCAGTAAACTGCAGAGGAAGGCCTCGTGCTGAGGTCTGACTCGGAGGTCTGGGCCTTTCCCAGAGTCCTCAGCGCTGCTTCCCTGTGCCCAGCAGGGAGTGTCCAGAACCGGGAGCCACAGTACCTCAACTCTGTTCCTGTTCACCCCGCGGCACCCCTCTCCCTACCCCAACCCCCAGCTTCCCTCCCTGCCTGCTTCCGGGCAGATCACATGCCTCCTGGTACCCTGAGTCACCACCAGTGGGTGGCCCCAGCACCAGCCAGACTGGAGGTGAGAGGGGGTGAGCACATGGGGGAGAGGACCCCTGGCCTCAGCAGATCTCAGACAGTGGGGAGGGAGACCCAGGAAGACAAACCAGCAACCTCCCGTCTCCTCGGCTGTAAACAGGGTCATTATAAAGGCCAAGGTCAGAGGAGTATTTTTTGACATTTATTCAATATCGTTTGAACACCTACTACATGTCAAGCACCGTCCTAGGCCAGTGGTTCTCAACCAGGGGCAACGCATTCCCAGGGGGCATTTAGCAATATCTGGAGACACTTTGGGTTGTCACAACCTGGGGGGGGGGTCACTCCTGGCATCCAGTGGATAGAGGCCAAGGATGCTGGTGAACATCCTATAACAACAGCAAAGAATTACGTGGCCCAAATGTCATCGGGGCTGAGACTGAGAAACCCTCACCGGCTATGGCTATGAACAGGTCCCCGCCCTCACTGTGCTGACATTCTTGTGGGAAAGCACAATAGAAGTGAAAGAAATTGAACAAGTTCAAGGTTATCATAGGAGGACACAAAGGCCAGGGAGTGAGAGTACCTGCAATTGATATGGGGGTCTTGCTATGTTGGCCAAGCTGGGCTCAAGCAATCCCTCTATCTCAGCCTCCTGAAGTGCTGGGATTATAGGTGGAGGTGCCACACCCAGCCACAGGGAGCTTTTCTGGGCAGGAGGGTCCATTTGTGCAGCAGCAAGTGAGGGAAGGCCACCAGGGGATATCCGTGGGAGGAGCATTCAAGACAAACGGGAAAGCAGGTGTAAAGACCCTGAGGCAGACGTGTGCAGCATGTCTGAGGAACAGAAAAGCAGCCAGCACAGCACAAAAGTGAGGTTTGGGTTGGTGTGTAGTATTGAATGTAGCACATACGCCACATCTAGCGGCAACGCTCTTCTCTTTCTTCCACATAGTCATTCTGATTGTCCTCCAGGAAGCACTGGATGGTAAGGGACACAAGGTGTCACTCAGTCCTGGGGAGGGACAGTGCTACGGGGAGGCACTGGGCCTGGTGCCAGGATGATAGTCAGGGCCACTAGAATGCCAGCAGGTTCTCAGCCTTTCACACCCATGGTGCCCATGAGGAGGGCCAGACAGGGAGAAAACTCACAACAGGTGAGGAAACAGAGGTTCACAAATGGATCCAGGTGACAGGGGCAGTCAGGGCAGAGCCCAGGTCTGTGAGGACTGTGACCTAATGGCAGTGTTGCTCCCGGAGGGCTGCAGCTGGGTCACGGTCAGGCCAGGGTCCCCAAAGTCAGGGACTGGGCTGGACTTGGAGTAGGTGTCCACGAATGTTGGAGGAATTAATAAATGAATAATTGCTACTGCATCAGGATGTTTGGTCACCTGCCTACCGCCCTCCGAAGAGGTGTCTGACCACCAGGCCACATCCTCAGTCTGCACCCAAGTTCCCCAAGTAGGGAAAGGGACAGAGATCTGGTGGAAGGAGGGAAAAGCCCTCAGGTGTCCCAGATCACACAGCCAACCTCTGACTTCCAGCCTGTTCTGCCACCTCTCTCCTAATCCAAGCCTGCCACAAACACTTGGGTTATGAGGAAGCAAACAGCAGCCTCTGGGCCAGACCCCTCACCCCCCTCCCCAGACAGCTAGGGCCCTGCCCAATGCCAGCAGAAACCTCCCCTGCCCTGGGCAATGCTTTACAGGCATTATTTGTGAACTGCACCTGTGACAGCTTGGGAAACGTCGGCACCTCTCTGGACTTCAGTTTCCACATCTCTACATGGGAACGGCACCACCCAACTCTTAGGAGTTGCTGGCCGGGAGGTTTCAGGGCAATTCTGTGACAAAATAACTAGCACAGTGCCTGAAACTTAGTAGGTGTTCAGAAAACAGGAGCTATTGTGATACTAATAACAAAAAGGAGGAGGAACCCACAATCCCACCCCTCAAGGAACCTTCCATCCATTGAGGGAGATAAGACACAACTAGATTAAAAAGCAGGATGTCATCTGTCCTGGAAAGGAACAAAAGACTCTGAGAGTTCAAAGAGAAGATCAAATCCAACTGGGAGAATGAGGAAAGACTTTCCTGGAGATAAGGACATCTGCAAAGGCCTTGAAGGATGGGGGAGGGGGCGCAGCACGGAGAGGGACAGGAGGGACAATGGCTATTTGCCTGATGATATATGTCTCGGGGCGTGGGGCACCTGCCCAGGGAGCCAGAGGGAAGAGCCCAGATGCCTCACTGTGGCCTGGGATCCTGAGAAAGCTCCTGCCTCGGCCACTGGGAACGCCAGGAGGCTCCCCAGGCAGGTAGAGGGGTGCCCCATGCCTAAGAAGGGTGTCTCTGCTGGGGAGGATCAGCGGGAGGGGGGAGGGGCCAGAGGGCCAGCTAAGAGCTGCTGCAATAGTTCCGGGAAGGACTCCAAGCGGAGGCAGGAGCTGGTCAGGAGGGGAAGGAAGTCGAGGAAAAGCCCTCGAGCAAATCCAGGACTCCAGCCCGGTGTCCCACAGAGCCCTGTGCCTGCCATCCCCGCCCCGGCCAAGGGTTCACATGCAACAGAGTTCACCCAGACAGGCCCAAACTCAATGGCAGGAAGACCCCTCTCCCACTGGGCCAGCGTCCATGTCATGACCCCAAAGTCAGGCTGGGACCACAGTCGTCCTCATTCACACTCAGTCTTCAGAGCTGGGACTCCCCTGACCACCTAGGACATCCTCTGGGGCAGCCCCCCAGGACCCACTCCCGACACCCACTGAGGGTGAGCTCCCATCTTCCACCCTTGAGAACTGGAGTCTTTGGCTTCAGATCAGGGAGTCACCGCAGGAGCCAACGCCACCTCCCACCTTCCTCCCTGGTCAAGATGTCCAGATGGGGCAGCACATCATGTGCCCATCAGGGTGGGCTCATGAGGAAGGTCGGACACACACCTCCTCCCCAGCTGCAGGGTGCAAAGGAAGAAGATGCCCCTTTTGGAAGACGACCTCCTCCGTGTCCTTCCATGAAATGCAAGTTCTCCGAGTCTCAGTTTTCCTCTTCTGTAAAATGGAGTTGGCCTATCTCACCAGACCACGGAGACCAGCACAAAAAAAAAGAGCAAAGGACACAATCCCTTTGCAGACACGGCGGTTGCAGTGGTGCTGAGCGAGGCTAGTGTTGATAACAGCCCTGGGGTCTCTGAGCTCTTCAATTGCTGGGCCCCTTGGAGACCTCACCTGCCCTGCTCTGCACCAGCTCAGAAGGCCTCCCTGACTCCCGGCCTCTGGAGCCCACCGTGGCCCCCTGACGGACACATCAAGAGGGGGCTGGGGAGAGCGCCGCAAGAGGGGGCAGCCCCCGGTCCAGCTGCGCCCTCATCAGGCCTCACCCCACACCTGGCCCTGCTCTCCAGACACGCGCCCAGCCTTTCTAAGAAAGAAGACCGTCGCCCTGAGGAGAAAGAAGTCTTCGGGAGCGGGCGCCCCGCGTGGGCAGCGGGGGCAGCCCCCGGACCGCCCCCTCCTCCCCTGTCTCAGCAGTCGCGGGCTAAGCGGGAGGGGTCCCGGGTCTAACGGGGACGGGCCCGC